GCGTTCTCGCTCCATCCTCAGCAGGGTCTCAGGTCCCAGTTTCCCAGCTCCAGAGGTGAGGCAGGAAGACAAACGCCAAGACCCAGCTGGGCCAGGAAATATGTGGAGATGGGCTGTTAACATTGGCTTGTGATCACAAGTAATACTCAGCTGGAAAGCCCAGTAAATAATAAACTAAACTGGTTATGATTGCAAGCCAAAATTAACCACCCTATACCCAGAAAGGCCCTTAGAAAGCTGTAGGCATGATGAAATCCAGTTTAGCTTTTCCTTTAACAAAATTTAATGAATTATTCAGAAGCTTAGAAAAATCACTATGTCATGTAGAAAATGGTACCCGATTATTTCCTCAGCATATTAAACATCTCTGGCGAGTTGCATGAGTAAATCGGGAAGGCCATCAGAATGCTGCTGCCGGATAGCCAGAAAAAGAAAAAAAACTTGTCATGAAAAGGAAGCTTTACCTCCACCCCCCATTTACCTAATGTCAAAATATTCTCTTTACATACCCTGCTGTCATTTCACTTCTGTTCATTTAAGGAAGATTCTGTATATAAACCACTTCGTATGAACACAGCACCACTTCAAACGAAAACAACAAAGGGGCTGATTCTGAGTTATCAAAGCTATTTGGTCTTAAAACCACTTCACTCCGCAAAATCAGTAACCTACTTTCACTTTGAATACACCGCCTGCTACCCTCAAGGGACTCGCAACTTTCGAACAACATTATTTAACAGTCAAACAGCTGGTAAAGCAAAGCCCTCCTTAAACATTTCATACAAACAACACACTATTAGACTACTGACAGTTCTGAGAGATAGTAGTTTAAATAATGTCCCAAATATTTTAATAGAAGATTTTTTCCCTTAAATTTCTAATCCCAAATGTAAGAAAGCAGCATTTGGGTGGTTTTATTTACGCCTTTTTTTTAAAGGTGAATCTACTTTTTTCAAAGTTGCTAAAGAGCTTGGGCTCACAGCACGAATTTCAGCCGTACTACAAAAGGGAGCAATACAGGTTCTGATTAAAGTGTAAAAAGGATACACAGTTTCAAAGCAATTTTTGAAGAAGCTTATCAAGACATAAACCTGAGGAATAACTGCATTACGAGCACAGAATGAACCTATGAGGTACATGCAACACTTAGTAGTCAAGGATCATACAAGAACTGCTTGCAAGCCCACAAATGTTAAAGGCTCAAACCCAGAAAAAAGTACAAACTACTTGCAGACACATGTGTAGGTGGAGGAAGCATGTGTAAGTGGGAGCAACACTTCATACAATGCTTTCGCTACTTCTAAAGAAAAACCGCATTTCTTCATATTATCTGCACTAAAAATAGAACAATTTATAGCAGAGAGCACTAGCACAATTACCGGCCCCAACTTTGGCTCAACAGATGCCTTGAAATCAGCACAGATCAAGTGCAATACACTCGGAGGCTAACGACTTTAAATTACATGTCCTCAGCCTGCCCTCAGAGAGGGACCAGCTTGACAGACTGGCTATCTCATATTTTTGTCTGCCCTGTGCCAAGGACGTAGGATTTGACTTCTGGCAAGCATCCACCTGCAGCAGACACTGATGCAAAGAAAAACACTGCTTTTTCCAGCTCTCGTAGTAAGTGAAGTGGTTGCGCAGTCATTTCTGCCTACCAAGGCTGCCTGTGAGCTACTGACCCCTGCATGGCCCACAGCTGTTTGCCCGCTATCACAACCAGGCTGCCAGCTCCACAGATGTACACTTCACCGCTCAGGCTTTCTGCCTGCATCTTTCTGGTGGCTCCCGTAAAAGGACAGAAGAGGCACTTCGGGGCACTCCACAACCAGCCATGACCCTGCCACTCCTGGTCAATGTGACAGTGGCCTAATTTTTTTTTATTTTTAACCAGTGTAATTGCTGCCCATAGAAAAGTTATCAATATTAGCTCTGAAAATTGACAGACGCTGGTCTAATTCACTTTGCTGAAGGTTGGCAAGTCTAGAAGCATCACAGGCACAAGGGCGATTTGTCTACTGCCACAAAGACAGCACTGTATAAATTTATTACTTAGTTAACATCTGGAAGTTCCCCCCGACTCTTCCCAGATAGCCATAAGGACCAGAAAATTCCTTTTAAAAAAAACCCCAAAACCCCCATGCCTCAATTCACAAATCAGTGGCATGTGCTTGTGGAAGTTCTACACACACCACAAGGAAAAAGAAGAGGAAGGGTAAGAGCTTGGGGCTTTTCCTGCAGCTCACCTACTTCTTGCATGAAAAATGAATACTATGAAAGAAGAGACTGCAATAGTAAATGTTCAATATTAAAAATGTACCAATTTATTAGCCATCTATTATTTTCTTGCTTTGTTACAATTCAGCCTTTCAAGACAGGCACAGAATACAATTTGCTGTTTCTGTTTACTAGCCACTTGTACTAGATTTCACTTCCAATTTGGTAGAATAAGAATTATTTCTCCCAAAGTATACAGCACCTAACACTTGGTGGAATCTGAGCCACAGCTAACACCGCAGGACTGTAGTACCACACACCTTACAAGCATCACAAATTATCTGCACACCTCCTTTGCAACACAAGACCTGTAACTTTACACGAGACAACTCCCAAAACTTCTTTTTCTTCCCCTCTTCACTTTCAGAGCAGTTTAACGGCAGCTTTTAAATGGATACAATCAAGACGCGTTGGGGGGAACGAGTGGGTTTTCTACTCTTGTCACTTCATCTTGAAATTTGAAATTTCCTTTTCCATAAAACAAGACTTCTCTCAGACTACAGTTAGAAAAAGTTAAGAAAAAAAAATTATAACTGTGTTATAATTAAAGGCAATGCCATTTTGCATATTCATTAACAAGCTGAAGTTTTTGAGGATTGCAGATGCCTTTTGCTTGGAACCTACAATCCAGCAGCTCCATTAAGTCCTGGGGCAACCAGATTTGCACATAGTTTAGAAGCGGTGAAACAACCATGTGCATAAAGAAATAATTTACATTATTTAAGATAATGCGCCAATTTCAAACTAGTCAAGTAGTTGTTGAAGAAACTACACTCAGAACAGGAGTAAGGCAGTCGTCACAGTTTGGGGGGAGTAACTAAATACAGCTCCAAAATTATGCCAAACCTGGGACACGTTACAGTCTGGCTACCACCCAAATTTCTAACCAAAACTGAAGCGCCAGCTTCCCTGCTTCCTTTCTACTCATCAGGTAGAAATTTCTAGTACAGTTAAAACCTATGTGCATTCAGAATGCAAGTGTAGATC